AACACGTTGGTTTGCTATCCTGGCTCCAAAATGGTGGAATGAGCTCCCCATTGAAATCAGGACAGCAGATAGCTTGCACATCTTCCGGCGCAGACTGAAAACTCATCTCTTTCGTAGTTCATTAAGCGTTTCACACAAAAAAATGTGTTACTTTACAGTTTTACGACACATTTTTATTTTTTTGACTTGCAAAATTATCTTTTTTAATTAATAAAAAAAAATTAAACGACAAACATCATATGTGTAATTCGTGGCACAATTCAAACGGGATCGAAAGATAATCTTTCTCTCTCCATTGACCTCAATAAATAATTTTTCCGAAATATGGTCCCATGGAGCTCCCCCGGAAGGGGATGGACTTCATCACTCTATTGTAGTTGAGTTAGGGACAGAGATGTTTTACTTTTTTTTTTACTTTTGTACACCAAATTTAAATTCAGCCTTTTTCTCAACCCTGAATTACATTAAGGTGGAGACTTGCTATTAAAATATAACAGAGGATAAATGTTTGGAACCAAGAATAAAAAATTAAAAAACCTAGATAAAAATGGTGTTAAGAGAAAAGCTTAAGATTGGTCTGCATGTAATTTCAGTTTGCAGGTAATAAGAGAAACTGGATTTTTCAAGTTCAGTAAAAATATCCAGCACCTGAAAAATAATCAAATCATTAGAGCATGTTTCATTCGGGCCAACAGCAACACAGTAATATAAGAGGTTAAATAATACCTGAAAATAGGACCTGCAAATGAAATAGAAGCCAGTGTTTATCACGCCTCACAGAGAGAGTTTGAGTACTAAATTATCTCTAGCAATACATCTTAGTGAAGAGTGATAAACAGCATCGAGGAGATGCAGGGAATTTACGTGCACAGATTTACAGACATGTCCGGTTTCCCAATCTTTTTTCTAGATTTCCCAGAATCCAAAGCAGCCATTGAAGATCTGAAGTTTTGTCTGGAAAGAACCAACCAGAGGCAGCAGCTCCTCACTTCTTTAAAGTCTGCGTTTGAGAGCCGTCTGCTGCACCCGGGTGAGAACGCCTCTGCAACTAAAGAGTAGTATTTGAAAAATGGTGAACGTGTTTTGGTTTGTGTTTACACTAAGAAAAGCTTTTATATAACTAAGCTGTGTTGGATGAGTGTTCCTTTAACTCACTCTTGTTGGTGATGATTGGACTTGTTTGGAATATAATTTTGATCACCTAACTGGTTTTTGTTTCATATTATTAATATAAATACACTATTGTACATTTTGAAATTTTTCTTGTTATATTTTTTTGGACACATTTATACTTTAACTTCTCTATGTTTGTATACATATATTTCATTTAAATTGTATTTTTTTGTTTAATTTTAACATAGAGCAACGGTTACAAAATCCCCTAGGATGAATACAATATTTGAATTGCTTGATTGATTGATTAAAGAAAACAGAAATACAATATACATGTTACTATCTGCAATATCCCTTTTATAAGCCCAATATGTACTTCTGCAAATCTACTATCTATTTGTCTTTACATGATCTTCACTAATACACTCTTTAACTATCTAATTGTGCAACAGTATATGTTGAGTGATAACACAGCAGAAGTTTAACAAACCTGTCTTTGTTGATCTATCCTTCCTCAGGGGTTCACACGTCAGATATCCTCACGGTTTACATCTCGGCCATCAAAGCCCTCAGAGAGCTGGACCCCTCCATGGTCATCCTGCAGGTCGCCTGTCAGCCCATCCGCAAGTACCTCAGGTGAGGGCATTCAAACACTACTTCCCGAGGAGGGTTAAAACACTTAAAGAGCAACTTCCAGGTTAAAGACACCTGTGAATAAATGTGTAGGAAAATGATGTATACACTAGATTTTCAAAAAAATATACATAAATATACACTACAGTGACATCTGGCGTCGTTTTTGTAAGACATTTTTACTTCCGCATCAAAAAAGCCTCCCCACGTGAACTCCCGCGTGTGACGTAACATGGATGCAACAATAATAAACATGGATCCCAATGCTAGTTTCGACACAGAAGACACAGTTACGGTGCTGTACCGGAGGGGAGAGAGAGAGCAGGGAAGGAGGGGGGGGAGGGGGGAAGAGAGCAGCGAAGGGTGGAGAGAGATGTAATACGGTTTCCTGATAAACGTTACCTAATGCAACTCCACACTACCTTTGGAGCTGTACCGGAGGGGGGAGAGAGAGCAGTGAAGGGGCAGCTATCTTGGTGAGTGATCGGCGTTAGCTACAGAATGTTAGCTAACGTCACATCACAACATTGTAAAGTTAGCTATCATATATCAGGCTATCTTCTTTTCCTGTTAGGGAAATAATGGACTTGATGTCCTGACAGGCTGGTATTTGTGCAACCTGCACAAACACAATACTGCACCATGATTACAAATGGTGAAATACAATGTAAAACTACCGAAAAATACCAGCTCACTAAAACACAACCGCTCAACTCAACGCAACTACTAACTATTCCCACGTTCAGAGAGCGGAGATGTGTCCCCTTTGTGATGTAATATGACGCGTTTGACATATGACCTTAAAAAAAAGCCGTTTTTAAGAGCAGAGCTCAAAATTGCTCCCCTTATGTCTCATAAAACATATCAAATCGTGCATTCACTTTTTCAATTGTAATTTTCAAGCAATTTTAAGCTTAAATGTAGAAAAGAAAAAAACCTGCAAGTTGCTCTTTAAGTACTGGAACCAAGTGCCACAGGTGGGTCTCATCACTGCTGATTACAAGGAAACACACAGGTTACAACAACACCACCTGATGGGCAACCACAGGGTTGTCACAATAGTAAATGCAAGGCTAAGGGCTGAAGCCAGTGTGTTGGTGGACCAAACTGTGTGTCATGCTTTAGCGGGGAAGATGGTATCAGTCATTTCTTGAGCTCCACCTTCCTCATATATGGCACTCTAATTCCATCCATGTATTAATGCAGTGGTCTATGGAGCCATCATTTTACCCACTCATCTCACTAGCCCAACCAATTCCTCCATCCAAAAACAAAACAGTATAATTTAGTACATCTAGCTAAACGCTGCCATTAACCTCGTGCTGCCCAGTATCCTCCCATGATCTCCCCTAGCTCCCAATACTAAAGACCTTGCAAACCCAGTCCTCTCTCCTGGGTCCGTGTATGCCATCTGTGCTCCAGACAGGATGGAAAGGCAGCGTTGAGATGCTGCCTGCATGCACCATGTCCAGGGCAACACAGATCAATGCGAGGGGTGTGGATGAGTGAGTGAGATGATCATTGATTGCAAGGAGGCAGCCCACTGCCAAGAGTAGAGAGGGAGGGAGGGGGCAAGGCTGCATTACACCCATCAAAGGCCTCAGGGGGCCATGATTGCCAGAGGCAGGAGATTTATGTTTGTGTGTGAAACAAATACTAGTATAAATTCTGGATATTTGTACATGTGAGACCACTAGGCTATTGCAACCTTGAATGCATTCTCATTACTGCCACACACATTCAAACATTCCACATAACATTGTATTGTGTGAAAAGGAAAGAAACAAGAAGCCCTTAAAAGGTTCACATTTTCCCTAGTTTTACAAGGTGTATATTCATAACATAAGCATACAGTATGTCCTATAGCTCCTGTATGCTTTTTTACATTGCTGTATCTCATTATTTCTCAGGACCTCACTAGCGCTTACAATATTTATAAACCCAAGCAGGGCAGATAACCTACAAATGGTTCAGAAGATCTGACCCTCAGCAGCTGTTTGAATTTGACCAAATTAAAGGTAGGTTAGGTAAGAATGGAGAAACCAGCTCGAGTGCGCTAGAATTTGAAACTACGCAGCCGAAAAAAATCTGCCCCTTCCTTCAGACTTCCTTACAGAGCCCCTCCTCCAACACACACGCGCACACGACCAATGAGGGCACGAGAAAAGTTTGTGCACAAGATGGAAGACTGACAGGCAGGTAGGTCGTGCTTTTTACTGCGCCACGGCTTCCACAGATGTAATGTATGTATTTATTGTCAAAGCATTTAATGTATTCATTGCTATCGGGATGTTAAGATCATTCCATGGAATATAACAAAAAGTGTTTCTGAAGTGAAATACCTTCAGAAACCTTCAGAAACCTTTAAGGTTGAATATGAAAATACTGATTCATTTTTTATGTATTCTCTGACATGACCATGAAACAGAGAATCTAGCACTACATACGAGCTTCACATCTTTAAAGAAGTGCCGGATGCAAAGCAATATACAGAGGAAATGTTCATTTAAATTAACTCGTCTGAATCCAATACGTCTGTCTAATTTGCTTCCTTCTTCGAAGTGCCGATTACTTTGTCAGTTCTCCCTTGATTTAGTAGATTGAAGTGTTCACAAGATTACTTTTCCTTGTGTTCTGTATTCTGTAAGCTGCAATATTTTGATTAATTTTGTGTAATAAAAGAGATATCCAGTCATTTTTAGATACTGTTTGATGGATAAACCCCACCAGCTTGTACTGAGAGACGGCCAATTTAACATCTCATGTACAGCAGTGATGTGTGCCTAAACTGGTCTGCTGATGGGACCGAGGGTGCATTGATAACTCCGCTCCAGCTGTTTTCAAGGCAGTGCAGGCATATACATTTTTCCCTTAATTGCCTACAATTAAACATTTCTGCATTTGGTGTGGGATTCAGGCTAATCTTTAGCTTTACTCTGTGCTAGGGTACTTCCATAACTGATAACATATTAAAATAACCACCATAAGTAAAAGGTGAATCAACAATTAGCACCAGTTAAACACTTTCAGTGCAATTATTGGATAGTTATAATTTAACATTATTTCTGTTCATTGTACAATCCCCCAGGGGCACGTCTAACTAAAGTAAATAATATGACCCGTTCGAGTCCTATTTTGGATAGTCTGCCGTGGTTTTGTTCCATTTCAAAGAGCTGTCTGACGCTCGGCGTAACCTTGGCACACTGCCACTTCAACATCCAATCACAGAGCTTGAAGACTAATCACGGGGTTTGTAAAGCAAAGGGGCTGTAGTCCTGAACGATAGCTGAGGATTATGGGTAGTGTAGTGTCTTCGGCTATCCCAAACTCAGAA